ACTACCGACTCTGAAGGTGAAGTCGTTACCACTTCTACCACCTACCCAGTCACCTCATCAGGTGTTCCAGCTCCAGTCACTACTGTTGTATCCTCTGGTAGCCACACCGAAACTGATGTCATCTCTTTCTACACCACTACCGACTCTGAAGGTGAAGTCGTTACCACTTCTACCACCTACCCAGTCACCTCTTCTGGTGTTCCAGCTCCAGTCACTACTGTCGTATCCTCTGGTAGCCACACCGAAACCGACGTCATCTCTTTCTACACCACTACCGACTCTGAAGGTGAAGTCGTTACCACTTCTACCACCTACCCAGTCACCTCATCAGGTGTTCCAGCTCCAGTCACTACTGTTGTATCCTCTGGTAGCCACACCGAAACCGATGTCATCTCTTTCTACACCACTACCGACTCTGAAGGTGAAGTCGTTACCACTTCTACCACCTACCCAGTCACCTCTTCTGGTGTTCCAGCTCCAGTCACTACTGTTGTATCCTCTGGTAGCCACACCGAAACCGACGTCATCTCTTTCTACACCACTACCGACTCTGAAGGTGAAGTCGTTACCACTTCTACCACCTACCCAGTCACCTCTTCTGGTGTTCCAGCTCCAGTCACTACTGTTGTATCCTCTGGTAGCCACACCGAAACCGATGTCATCTCTTTCTACACCACTACCGACTCTGAAGGTGAAGTCGTTACCACTTCTACCACCTACCCAGTCACCTCTTCTGGTGTTCCAGCTCCAGTCACTACAGTTGTATCCTCTGGTAGCCACACCGAAACTGATGTAATCTCTTTCTACACCACTACCGACTCTGAAGGTGAAGTCGTTACCACTTCTACCACCTACCCAGTCACCTCTTCTGGTGTTCCAGCTCCAGTCACTACTGTTGTATCCTCTGGTAGCCACACCGAAACCGACGTCATCTCTTTCTACACCACTACCGACTCTGAAGGTGAAGTCGTTACCACTTCTACCACCTACCCAGTCACCTCTTCTGGTGTTCCAGCTCCAGTCACTACAGTTGTATCCTCTGGTAGCCACACCGAAACCGATGTCATCTCTTTCTACACCACTACCGACTCTGAAGGTGAAGTCGTTACCACTTCTACCACCTACCCAGTCACCTCTTCTGGTGTTCCAGCTCCAGTCACTACTGTTGTATCCTCTGGTAGCCACACCGAAACTGATGTCATCTCTTTCTACACCACTACCGACTCTGAAGGTGAAGTCGTTACCACTTCTACCACCTACCCAGTCACCTCTTCTGGTGTTCCAGCTCCAGTCACTACTGTCGTATCCTCTGGTAGCCACACCGAAACCGATGTCATCTCTTTCTACACCACTACCGACTCTGAAGGTGAAGTCGTTACCACTTCTACCACCTACCCAGTCACCTCTTCTGGTGTTCCAGCTCCAGTCACTACTGTTGTATCCTCTGGTAGCCACACCGAAACCGATGTCATCTCTTTCTACACCACTACCGACTCTGAAGGTGAAGTCGTTACCACTTCTACCACCTACCCAGTCACCTCATCAGGTGTTCCAGCTCCAGTCACTACTGTTGTATCCTCTGGTAGCCACACCGAAACCGATGTCATCTCTTTCTACACCACTACCGACTCTGAAGGTGAAGTCGTTACCACTTCTACCACCTACCCAGTCACCTCTTCTGGTGTTCCAGCTCCAGTCACTACTGTTGTATCCTCTGGTAGCCACACCGAAACCGATGTCATCTCTTTCTACACCACTACCGACTCTGAAGGTGAAGTCGTTACCACTTCTACCACCTACCCAGTCACCTCTTCTGGTGTTCCAGCTCCAGTCACTACTGTTGTATCCTCTGGTAGCCACACCGAAACCGACGTCATCTCTTTCTACACCACTACCGACTCTGAAGGTGAAGTCGTTACCACTTCTACCACCTACCCAGTCACCTCATCAGGTGTTCCAGCTCCAGTCACTACTGTTGTATCCTCTGGTAGCCACACCGAAACCGACGTCATCTCTTTCTACACCACTACCGACTCTGAAGGTGAAGTCGTTACCACTTCTACCACCTACCCAGTCACCTCTTCTGGTGTTCCAGCTCCAGTCACTACTGTTGTATCCTCTGGTAGCCACACCGAAACCGATGTCATCTCTTTCTACACCACTACCGACTCTGAAGGTGAAGTCGTTACCACTTCTACCACCTACCCAGTCACCTCATCAGGTGTTCCAGCTCCAGTCACTACTGTTGTATCCTCTGGTAGCCACACCGAAACCGATGTCATCTCTTTCTACACCACTACCGACTCTGAAGGTGAAGTCGTTACCACTTCTACCACCTACCCAGTCACCTCTTCTGGTGTTCCAGCTCCAGTCACTACAGTTGTATCCTCTGGTAGCCACACCGAAACTGATGTAATCTCTTTCTACACCACTACCGACTCTGAAGGTGAAGTCGTTACCACTTCTACCACCTACCCAGTCACCTCATCAGGTGTTCCAGCTCCAGTCACTACTGTTGTATCCTCTGGTAGCCACACCGAAACCGACGTCATCTCTTTCTACACCACTACCGACTCTGAAGGTGAAGTCGTTACCACTTCTACCACCTACCCAGTCACCTCATCAGGTGTTCCAGCTCCAGTCACTACTGTTGTATCCTCTGGTAGCCACACCGAAACCGATGTCATCTCTTTCTACACCACTACCGACTCTGAAGGTGAAGTCGTTACCACTTCTACCACCTACCCAGTCACCTCATCAGGTGTTCCAGCTCCAGTCACTACTGTTGTATCCTCTGGTAGCCACACCGAAACCGATGTCATCTCTTTCTACACCACTACCGACTCTGAAGGTGAAGTCGTTACCACTTCTACCACCTACCCAGTCACCTCTTCTGGTGTTCCAGCTCCAGTCACTACAGTTGTATCCTCTGGTAGCCACACCGAAACTGATGTAATCTCTTTCTACACCACTACCGACTCTGAAGGTGAAGTCGTTACCACTTCTACCACCTACCCAGTCACCTCATCAGGTGTTCCAGCTCCAGTCACTACTGTTGTATCCTCTGGTAGCCACACCGAAACCGACGTCATCTCTTTCTACACCACTACCGACTCTGAAGGTGAAGTCGTTACCACTTCTACCACCTACCCAGTCACCTCTTCTGGTGTTCCAGCTCCAGTCACTACTGTTGTATCCTCTGGTAGCCACACCGAAACCGATGTCATCTCTTTCTACACCACTACCGACTCTGAAGGTGAAGTCGTTACCACTTCTACCACCTACCCAGTCACCTCATCAGGTGTTCCAGCTCCAGTCACTACTGTTGTATCCTCTGGTAGCCACACCGAAACCGATGTCATCTCTTTCTACACCACTACCGACTCTGAAGGTGAAGTCGTTACCACTTCTACCACCTACCCAGTCACCTCTTCTGGTGTTCCAGCTCCAGTCACTACAGTTGTATCCTCTGGTAGCCACACCGAAACCGATGTCATCTCTTTCTACACCACTACCGACTCTGAAGGTGAAGTCGTTACCACTTCTACCACCTACCCAGTCACCTCATCAGGTGTTCCAGCTCCAGTCACTACAGTTGTATCCTCTGGTAGCCACACCGAAACCGATGTCATCTCTTTCTACACCACTACCGACTCTGAAGGTGAAGTCGTTACCACTTCTACCACCTACCCAGTCACCTCATCAGGTGTTCCAGCTCCAGTCACTACTGTTGTATCCTCTGGTAGCCACACCGAAACCGATGTCATCTCTTTCTACACCACTACCGACTCTGAAGGTGAAGTCGTTACCACTTCTACCACCTACCCAGTCACCTCTTCTGGTGTTCCAGCTCCAGTCACTACTGTTGTATCCTCTGGTAGCCACACCGAAACCGACGTCATCTCTTTCTACACCACTACCGACTCTGAAGGTGAAGTCGTTACCACTTCTACCACCTACCCAGTCACCTCATCAGGTGTTCCAGCTCCAGTCACTACTGTTGTATCCTCTGGTAGCCACACCGAAACCGACGTCATCTCTTTCTACACCACTACCGACTCTGAAGGTGAAGTCGTTACCACTTCTACCACCTACCCAGTCACCTCTTCTGGTGTTCCAGCTCCAGTCACTACTGTTGTATCCTCTGGTAGCCACACCGAAACCGACGTCATCTCTTTCTACACCACTACCGACTCTGAAGGTGAAGTCGTTACCACTTCTACCACCTACCCAGTCACCTCATCAGGTGTTCCAGCTCCAGTCACTACAGTTGTATCCTCTGGTAGCCACACCGAAACCGATGTCATCTCTTTCTACACCACTACCGACTCTGAAGGTGAAGTCGTTACCACTTCTACCACCTACCCAGTCACCTCTTCTGGTGTTCCAGCTCCAGTCACTACTGTTGTATCCTCTGGTAGCCACACCGAAACCGACGTCATCTCTTTCTACACCACTACCGACTCTGAAGGTGAAGTCGTTACCACTTCTACCACCTACCCAGTCACCTCATCAGGTGTTCCAGCTCCAGTCACTACTGTTGTATCTTCTGGTAGCCACACCGAAACCGATGTCATCTCTTTCTACACCACTACCGACTCTGAAGGTGAAGTCGTTACCACTTCTACCACCTACCCAGTCACCTCTTCTGGTGTTCCAGCTCCAGTCACTACTGTTGTATCCTCTGGTAGCCACACCGAAACCGATGTCATCTCTTTCTACACCACTACCGACTCTGAAGGTGAAGTCGTTACCACTTCTACCACCTACCCAGTCACCTCTTCTGGTGTTCCAGCTCCAGTCACTACTGTTGTATCCTCTGGTAGCCACACCGAAACCGACGTCATCTCTTTCTACACCACTACCGACTCTGAAGGTGAAGTCGTTACCACTTCTACCACCTACCCAGTCACCTCATCAGGTGTTCCATCTCCAGTCACTACTGTTGTATCCTCTGGTAGCCACACCGAAACCGATGTCATCTCTTTCTACACCACTACCGACTCTGAAGGTGAAGTCGTTACCACTTCTACCACCTACCCAGTCACCTCTTCTGGTGTTCCAGCTCCAGTCACTACTGTTGTATCCTCTGGTAGCCACACCGAAACCGATGTCATCTCTTTCTACACCACTACCGACTCTGAAGGTGAAGTCGTTACCACTTCTACCACCTACCCAGTCACCTCTTCTGGTGTTCCAGCTCCAGTCACTACTGTTGTATCCTCTGGTAGCCACACCGAAACCGATGTCATCTCTTTCTACACCACTACCGACTCTGAAGGTGAAGTCGTTACCACTTCTACCACCTACCCAGTCACCTCTTCTGGTGTTCCAGCTCCAGTCACTACAGTTGTATCCTCTGGTAGCCACACCGAAACCGACGTCATCTCTTTCTACACCACTACCGACTCTGAAGGTGAAGTCGTTACCACTTCTACCACCTACCCAGTCACCTCTTCTGGTGTTCCAGCTCCAGTCACTACTGTTGTATCCTCTGGTAGCCACACCGAAACCGATGTCATCTCTTTCTACACCACTACCGACTCTGAAGGTGAAGTCGTTACCACTTCTACCACCTACCCAGTCACCTCATCAGGTGTTCCAGCTCCAGTCACTACAGTTGTATCCTCTGGTAGCCACACCGAAACCGATGTCATCTCTTTCTACACCACTACCGACTCTGAAGGTGAAGTCGTTACCATTTCTACCACCTACCCAGTCACCTCATCAGGTGTTCCAGCTCCAGTCACTACTGTTGTATCCTCTGGTAGCCACACCGAAACTGATGTCATCTCTTTCTACACCACTACCGACTCTGAAGGTGAAGTCGTTACCACTTCTACCACCTACCCAGTCACCTCTTCTGGTGTTCCAGCTCCAGTCACTACTGTTGTATCCTCTGGTAGCCACACCGAAACCGATGTCATCTCTTTCTACACCACTACCGACTCTGAAGGTGAAGTCGTTACCACTTCTACCACCTACCCAGTCACCTCTTCTGGTGTTCCAGCTCCAGTCACTACTGTTGTATCCTCTGGTAGCCACACCGAAACCGACGTCATCTCTTTCTACACCACTACCGACTCTGAAGGTGAAGTCGTTACCACTTCTACCACCTACCCAGTCACCTCATCAGGTGTTCCAGCTCCAGTCACTACTGTTGTATCCTCTGGTAGCCACACCGAAACCGATGTCATCTCTTTCTACACCACTACCGACTCTGAAGGTGAAGTCGTTACCACTTCTACCACCTACCCAGTCACCTCATCAGGTGTTCCAGCTCCAGTCACTACTGTTGTATCCTCTGGTAGCTACACCGAAACCGACGTCATCTCTTTCTACACCACTACCGACTCTGAAGGTGAAGTCGTTACCACTTCTACCACCTACCCAGTCACCTCATCAGGTGTTCCAGCTCCAGTCACTACTGTTGTATCCTCTGGTAGCCACACCGAAACCGACGTCATCTCTTTCTACACCACTACCGACTCTGAAGGTGAAGTCGTTACCACTTCTACCACCTACCCAGTCACCTCTTCTGGTGTTCCAGCTCCAGTCACTACTGTTGTATCCTCTGGTAGCCACACCGAAACCGATGTCATCTCTTTCTACACCACTACCGACTCTGAAGGTGAAGTCGTTACCACTTCTACCACCTACCCAGTCACCTCATCAGGTGTTCCAGCTCCAGTCACTACTGTTGTATCCTCTGGTAGCCACACCGAAACCGACGTCATCTCTTTCTACACCACTACCGACTCTGAAGGTGAAGTCGTTACCACTTCTACCACCTACCCAGTCACCTCTTCTGGTGTTCCAGCTCCAGTCACTACTGTTGTATCCTCTGGTAGCCACACCGAAACCGACGTCATCTCTTTCTACACCACTACCGACTCTGAAGGTGAAGTCGTTACCACTTCTACCACCTACCCAGTCACCTCTTCTGGTGTTCCAGCTCCAGTCACTACAGTTGTATCCTCTGGTAGCCACACCGAAACCGATGTCATCTCTTTCTACACCACTACCGACTCTGAAGGTGAAGTCGTTACCACTTCTACCACCTACCCAGTCACCTCTTCTGGTGTTCCAGCTCCAGTCACTACTGTTGTATCCTCTGGTAGCCACACCGAAACTGATGTCATCTCTTTCTACACCACTACCGACTCTGAAGGTGAAGTCGTTACCACTTCTACCACCTACCCAGTCACCTCTTCTGGTGTTCCAGCTCCAGTCACTACTGTCGTATCCTCTGGTAGCCACACCGAAACCGATGTCATCTCT